TTTCCAACATCCTAGTGGCCTCCCCCCACCCAGACCCAATGACCATCATATTAACCTGATTTCTAACACCCTTCCAGTCAATGTCAAACTATACCGCTATCCACATTAAAAAAAAGATGCCATGATCACTATTATTCAGGAAATGCTACAGCAAAAGCATAATTATCGCTAGCACTAGTCTTTTTTCCTCACCCGTGCTGCTTGTTAAAAATAAAGATGGTTCTTGGCATTTTGTGTGGATTATCGAGCATTAAATGCGGTCACAATCAAAGACCGCTTTCCTATCCCTATTATTGATGAACTATTAGATGAGCTTGGTTCAGCTAAGGTGTTCACTAAGATAGACTTATGCTACGGATATCACCTGATCCGTGTTGCATCGGAAGATACGCATAAGACAGCTTTTTGCACTTTTGATGGGCATTACGAGTTTCTTATAATGCCTTTCGGCCTAACTAATAACCTATCTACTTTTCAGGCTGCCATGAATGATTTGTTGCGACTTTATTTGTGAAAATGTATGTTGGTATTTTTTGTTGATATTCTAATTTTCAGTTCTAATTTTAGTGACCATCTACATCATTTATAGGTGGTATTTGAGTTATTAGCTACCCATTCTTTTTTGTCAAGTTATCTAAATGTGTCTTTGCAGTTAACCAAATTGATTACTTAGGACATGTGATATCAGCTGATGGTGTTTCCCCCGATCCAGAAAAGGTAAGATCCGTTTTAGATTGGCTACCTCTTCGCTCTCTCACGACACTCCGTGGTTTTTTAGGCCTCACTGGATTTTATAGACGTTTTTTAAAAGCTACGCCACTCTCGCCACTCCTATCACCAATTTGTTGTGTTCTACTAATTTCAAATGGAGTACAGAGGCTGAGTTAGCCTTTACAGAACTGAAAAATAATATGACCGACATGCTGGTCATAATGCTACCAGATTTTACAAAAAAATTTACAATAGAGATGGACGCGTCTGGTGTTGCCATTGGTGCAGTATTGTCATAGGAGGGCCACCTGATTGCCTTTTTCAGCAAAAAAAATGTGTCCTCGAATGCAATCCTCTTCAGTTTATGTTCAGGAGATGTTTGCAATCACGGGATCTATCAAGAAGTGGCGTCAGTATCTCATTGGTCAAAAGTTTCATATTTTTACTGATTAGAATAGCTTAAGAAATTTATTGCTACAAAGAATTCAGACCCCATAACAACAGAAGTGGACTTCCAAATTTCAAGGTTTTAATTTTGAGATCTTTTATAAACCTGGAAAAACAAATGTTTTTGCTGATGCATTGAGCCGGAAGTTTCATGTGGAGACCCCCTTGTTCCTTACTTTATCTTCCCTGGTTCCGAAACTTGTGACCATACTCCGAACATTTTATGCAAATGATAGTGTTGGGAAGCAGTTAGTTCAACAACACACACTGTTGTACCCCAAAATTTGTCCTTTTTTCATATACGCATATTATTGGTTTTATGATTATGGAATAAAGGTATATTTATCAAGCTTCTTCAGGTTACAAGTGACGTTTATTTCTTCAATGGATATTCTCAGAGTATTTTCCGTGCTGAAGATCGGTTCGCCGTTTTGCAATGATTCGGGGTTCAAAGATTCATAAGTCCAACCCGACGCGTCATATTCAGGTGTTCTTTCGCCAAGATATCTTTGATAACGTATTCTCAAATTCAGGTTCGGCTCAAGAGTCAATTCTTTAAAGAAGGTATCCGAATGTGTGAGTTTTCTCGAAGAAATATGGTGAAAAAATGTGTTGAAAGTGCAGTTTTTACGCGCTAAAAAATTCATAACTTGAAGATCGTGGCTCGTTTTGAACCCGTTCCGGTGGCCAAAATTTCGTGTTGATGTCATCTAAGTTTTCATCTCTCACGGCTGGAAGCCAATTTAGATCAAAAGGTCTTCAAAAATACGGATTTATCGAGTATTTTCTTACAGAAAATTTGTGACAAAAGTTTATTTGCGTCACGTTCAGAAAATCATAACTTGGTCAATTTTCATCGTATTGAGCTGGTTCTGGCGCCAAAATTTCACAAATTAATTTGACTACGTTTTCACAGGAGGTATCGAGTTTGAACGATATCCAAAAGGCCTTCATTTTTTGCTCAGAGTGCGTATGACGCGTCGAAAATCCTGAATGCTGAATATTATTTCATTTGGGTCGAAACTTCAAAAATTCATAACTCGGTCAGTTTTTATCGGATCGGGCCCATCTTTTTACACAAGGTCACTGACTCAGAGATATACAACTTTGCTTCAAAAGTCGAGACCAGATTATGCTCCGATCAATTCCAGTTTTTATTGAAGAACGTGTCAGAGTCGACACTGGAGCCCAAAATAAGTTTGTCTGAGCTGAAACTTCAAAAATTCATAACTAATTCACCGTTTATCCGATTGAGCCCATTTTTGGACAGAAGTTAGTTCTCGATGTTGGATACATTTTGTTTTTACATTTCAACTTCAAAAATTTCACTTAAACCCCTGCGATTTTGCCTAGAACGTGACGGACTCAAGTGAACATTGGAGGCCCAATTGCACATTCAAAGCCAATTTTTTCTCTCTCTAAATTTCATTATATAATCTCATTCTTTTCACACAAACAGGGAGAGAAAAAAGACCTTTGCCACAACCCTGTCAGAATATCAAATTATTTCAAGAACCCTAAAACCTTGAAATCCTTATTACAAATCCTCATCTCACTACAAACAAGCCATCCTTGTCACAAACCCACATCTCACTACTTCTCCAGTAAGGGTAAGGCTGGTTTGATCTCCATGATCAAAAGGGCATATAAGCATTCATCTCACTACTTCTCCACTAAGGGTTTGACTATTATGGTCTCATGCAGGTTTATTACAAAACACTGAGGTCGGATCATAACAACCACCAATGTATGGCAAGACAGACATCCTAAGGAGGTTAAGGCAACCATCTGTTTAAAACTTTTTTCATAAAACCTAATATTTTTCACAAACCTTTGATTTTTTATAATAAACATGAATAATTAATTTTAGGCTTTTTTAATTTAATTTTAGGTTTTAAATTAATTTTCGGTTCAACAACCACCCATGATATTTGTATTATTTTTATTTTCTAACCTTTTTTTTCATTGATGTTTCTTCCCCTATCTATTTTTTAGCAAACTTAATATTTTTTATTAATCATTAGACATAAACTTTTTTTAAAACCTTTTTTTTAATTAAAATTAATTAGGTTTTAGGTTTTTTTAATTAACCTTTTTTTCAAAATTAAATTTTTTTATTAATTAAAATTAATTAGGTTTAAAGATTTTTTAATTAAACATTTTTTAAAATTAATCTTTTTTTTAATTCAAACAAATTAGGATTAGGTTTTTGTTTTAGTTAGTAACTGAATTTTTGGCTTTTTTTTCATTTATTAATAAATTAACTTAATTAATTTTTTTTTAATTAAAATTAGTTAGAATTAGGTTTTTTAATTAACTTAAAATTATTTTATAAAAAAAAACACCAAAAACATTAACTTAGAACTTTAGGTTTTAATTTCTCCTTAATTTTTATTTATTTATTCTTTTACATTTTAATTTCTAGAAAAATTGTATAGGTCGCATTATCAATGTAATAGGGTAGATTTATCTTTTCTCGCATTTTTTCTAATTATGTAACTACTCCGAGGTTGTAATAGTAATTAGGGTTTAAATTCCGCATTTTTATTTTCAGTCTAAAATAATTATGTAATTGCCCCAAAGCCCTGTAATAGCTAGGACTTTAATTTCTCGAATTTTAATTTCCGCAAACTATAAACTGCTTAGATAAATGTTAATAGAATTGTATGGAAAGACTAATTGAAAATTAAAACAGTTGATCACCTTAATTGTGCAAAGATTAAATAACTGAAACAAATCATATGCACATATTCACTCTTAGGGTATGCCTCACTTGGTTGCCTCGGAAACAATGGTCATGTCCCTCGAACGTAGGGATACCCTTAGCAAAAGACCCTCAACCTAAAAGTCATCATAAAGATCATAGTCCCTCAATGTCCCTCGAGTTGCCTACGAGAAAATGATCTTGTCCCTCGATGTTGCCTACGAATATATGATGGCAGTCCCTTCGAAATGCTAAGGTATCCTTACATGTTGCCTTCAATGACCATTACGTCCCTTTCAAATTGACCCTTACAAATTCCAACGGCGGTGCTACCTATTTCTCAATAGTAGGATAGCGCTGTCTAAAGGAAAAAAGAATAGAAACGGTCTTTTTTTTTCCGAGTAGGTAGAGGCTAGTAGGTACTTGCTCAAATCAAAACTTTTCACACTTACACTTTTCAAATAAACTTTTCAAACTAAAATTTTCAAAACATTTCGTAACACTCTTGAGGACAGAAACAAGGGTTAAAACGAAGTAAAACAAAACTTTTCAAAACAAGCACACACAAGCAATTTCAAAATGAGCAAGTACCTAAGAGCCCATGGAAAACCATGGATGGAAAGGGTGCTAACACCTTTCCTTTCTATAATCTACTCCACGTACTCAGAAACATCTCGAAAAAGGTTTTTTCTGTTCTTTTTCCTTTTCCTTGTTGGATAAAATAAAAGTCGATGGCGACTCTTGTTTACCGCGACATTTTGCAAACACAAACGCAAAACGCAAACCAGCATTTTCCAAAACAGTCGATTCTACCACCGTATCACACACACAACAAAACTATTTTCATTTTTCTAATGGTATTCATTACTATAAAGACAGAATTTTAATACCGAATTTGCAACAACTTCGTCAACATCTACTCTTGGAGTTTCACAGCACACCAATAGCAAGTCACTCTGGTGTTTAAGCCACCCTTGCAAGGTTACACTCTTCTTTTTGTTGGCCCGAAATTTACCTAGCATTTAAGATGTTGGTTAAAAACTACAGTACTTGCCAAAAAAATAAATATGATACACAAAAGAAAAAAGGTTTGTTACAACCTCTCTTTATCCCTAGTAAATCTTGGGAAGAGTTGACCATGGATTTCATCACCCACCTACCCAAATCTTTCGGACACACCGTCATTTGGGTCACCTGTGATCGCCTCACCAAGTTTGTGCATTTCATCGCATTGCCTACTAAGTTTTCTGCAAAAGCTCTGGAATCTCGTTTCTCTGTTGAAGTCTTCTACCTCCATGGGTTACCAAAATTCATCATTCCAGATAGAGATCCATTGTTCCTTAACAATTTTTGGCACGATTTTTTCAAACAACAAGGAACAACATTAAAATATAACACATCTTACCATCCTGAGATCGATTGTCAAATAGAGGTAGTGAATTGGTCGTTGGAAACATACCTTCTTTGTTTGGTTGGGGATCATACGTGTCACTGGTTCAAAGTCCTTCATCTTGCAGAGTATTAGTATAATACTATGTTCTATTCTGCCATCAACATGTCCCTTTTCAAGGCATTATACGACTGTGACCCTCCGATGCTCTTAGGTTACGTGACTGGCACCGCCACCGCCACCGCGGACTCTCTCGATCTGGCTCTACAAAATCAACAACAAGCCATGTATCAGTTAAAACGTCATCTGATAATCAACAAAATTAAAATGGAGAAACAAGCAAACCTCAAACGACGGGACTTTACCTTTCAGGAAGGCGACTTTGTGTGTTTAAAACTTCAAACCTACCGTCTGAACACTGTTGCTCGTTGCGTTTCGCAGAAACTCGCCAAAAGATACTTTGGACATTTTAAAATCATCAAACGGGTTGGATTTGTGGCGTATCACCTGAATCTTCCACATTCATCTCGTATCCACCCAGTAATCCATGGTTCGCTCCTGAAACCTTACCATGGCAACGCCCCTGAGACAAATCTTACAATTTTTTCACCTAGTAATTTCATCCATTATGAAGAATACGATGTTGTTCCAACTCAGATCACAACACAACATGAGGTGAGTAAGAATCCTAGAGAAGCAGTTCATATATAAACACGAAGAAGAATATTTTTCCGTTTGAAAGAGAAGAGAGGATTTCAGAGTTATCTCAAAGGATTTCAAAAGTTGTTTTGAAGACAGAGAAAGAGAAGAATCACAAAGTGCATGTGGAAATTTCACAAGTGCAAGAGAACACTCTAGATTCGTGTAAGTCTTTTAACACCAAGTGCTCTCGACAAAAATACAGTTTTACCCCTTGTGATCGGTGGATCTGGAACTGACTGTTTAACGCTGGTTCGCGAAATGTCGCGGAAGCAAGAGTCGCCACCGTCTTTTATTTTCTCCAAATGGAAAGGACAAAAGCACAGAAAAATTCCTTATAGAGATTGCTCTCGGTTCGGGAGGTAGGTTATAGAAAGGGAAGGTGTTAGCACCCTTTCTATCCATGGTTATCCATGGGCTCTTAGATACTTGATCATTGTGTTTTCAAAAATGGTTTGTTTGCTTTTCAACTGTGGGTTTTAAAAAGTTTCTTTGAAAATTCCAGTTCGACTCTTGTATCGGTCCTCAAGAGTGTTTGAAAAATTGCTTTCGAAAGCTTTTTGAAAATGTGTTGGTGTGAAAAGTATTTTGAATTTTGTTTTGAAATTTAGAGCAAGTATCTAGAGTTGTCTACCTATCCTAAGGAATTCGTCTGTGTAAATGTCCTTTAAAGTAGTGCCATCCCACCATTGAGAGGTAGGTAGCACCACCGTTGGAGGTGTTCGGGTCAATTCGAAGGTTTGTAGGGACATGGTGATCACCAGAGCAATGGGAAGACACCTTAGAAGCTACCCTCATGTCAGGTTCCCGGATCATGAGGACTTACTAAGACATCCTCTACTCGACGATCACCTTTCGAGGCAAGGCAACAGTGAGGCGTACCCTAGGGGTAGTGTGTGCGATTTGTGTGTCGTTTTCATTTGTATTTGTCTTTTCATGTCATTGGCGTTCTACGCTTGTTTTTATTTAAGGCCATTCATTCTTGCATGCTTTGTTTAACAGTTAAAAGTTGCGAGGAAAAGTAAATCTAAAGCTATTACAAATGGCGCGGGTCCACATCGCCAAAATTAACCAGGACCCGATTTGACAGAAAATAAATAAACAAAGTAAATAAAGAATTAAAAAGTGCGAGAAGTAATTTACAAGGCTTCGGGAGAGGTACATAATTATTTAAGCAAAATAAAATAAATATGCGAATTAGGATAAAAATTAAGAACATGGGCGTTGGACCCTTTTGCAAAAATCAAATTAATGATGAATTGATTAATTAAAAAGGAAAGAACTTATTTTTGGTGTTTTTTAGTGTTTTTAGGATTTAATAGAAAAAAGGAATTAATTAAAATTAAAATAAAATGCTAAACCTAATTCTAATTATTTTTTTTATTTATTAAGAAAAATGTTGAAGTTTTTAACCTAAATTAAACCTAATTTTTATATACAAATTTAATTATGAAAATAAATAAAATAAATAATATTATTGTGGAAAAAAGAAAAATTAAAAAGGAATAAAACATTAATTAAACCTAGTTCTATATTTTTTAGATTTTTGTTATGAAAAGAATTAAAATAGAAACCCTAATTTAAACTAATTAATTTACATGCATTTATCTACAAGAAATATTAAAATAAAAATATTTATTATATTTTTTATCTTTTCTGATTTTTATGCATTTTTTATATTTTGTAGAAATAATTAATTAAATCAAAACAATAAAGAAAATAAAATAATAATTGAAAATATAGAGAATTGCAAACCAGGGGGGGTGGTAGTCCCCAAAGTGGAGGTCTGGCCCAAGAATTCTGAGCCCAATAACCTTTAGGTTCGTTGACTTTTCCAGACACTATGTGGCACCTTTGACCAGGCTTATGATGCGCTTCCAATCTATGCCTTTGATTTGATCTCCAGGGGCACGTGGATGGCTGGATTAAGAGGTGTATCATGATCCTCAACATAAGCGCTGCATATGAATATTAATGGAAAAATGATATTTGAAAGCATGAAGACCTGGGGCTCGAACCCAGGTCATGGACATTGCAAGCGCGTTTACCTACCACTGAGCCATCCCAAATACATTTAATATATAATAGCAAATAAACATGATAAAAGAAATAATGACCAGGGTCCACCAACGCGCGCAAATTTTAAATGATCCAACCGATTCATGCCACGACATCATCTTCTTCTTCGTGTTTTGTTTTTTTCTGAAATACAAATAACATAGGCAACGGTTTCCATGTGTTTTCTTAGGCCAGTTTTGGGAAAATAGCGAATAGGTCTAGAGGGTCCATAAATTAGGCGCGAGCATGGTATCTTCTTCGTCCAGGCATGATGATTCTAATGGTGGTGGCCAAGGATCCCAATTTTTCCTCGTTTCAAAATCCCCAATTTCAAACTCTGCAAACCCTAAAACTCAAACATGGCATAATCGCGTATAGCAAATAAAAAGACAATTAAATGCATTGGTTAGCTTCAGAATCAAATGAGGAATAAGAATCCATGAATAAAATGTTATGAAAATGCCTAAATTTGAGAACACGATTATGAGTTTTTCATGAAATATTTGGAATGCTGTATACCAATTCCTTGCGTTTTGATTGTTGTTTTTGATTGGAATATGTCCAATGACCTTTGAGCAAGCTATTGAAACACAAATTCTGCCTTGAATCGCCCTCCAATGTGATTTTCAGAGTTGAGGTTTTAGATAGAAATTTCAAGTTCTACAATGGCTCTTGGGCGCAGCTCAGTGTGTATGAGCGTTAGGGTTTTCTTTAGGCTTATGTACTGAGTCCATTAGGTTAACAAAAGTAGAACAAATCCAATGCCATGATGATTTTTGAAAATTTGATTTTTAAGGATCTTTTTCAATCTTTTCCATGTGTTCTTTGCTCTCAATCATGATCAATCAAACCAAATCTTTCCTTATTTAGTTAGGCACGAAATATTGAGAGTAAAACATGTACAAAAAGATTTGTTAGATTAAGTTAAGTATTTTTCACATATTTAATTGATTTAAATGAATTAATATAAATAAAAATTCAAATAAATAAATAAAAAATGAAGAAATACTTCCCTTTGGGCCAAGTGGTCGTGCACATGCCATGGATGATGAATTGTGGAAGAAAAATGGGCCCATTAGCAATTTTAGGTCATTTGAAGTAATGTTGACTTTTCAAAATATCCAAAAATTTCCCAACTTCCACAAGGCATAACTTGCTCAATGTTTAAGCTTTTCTCATGTTCTTGGACATCTTGGAAAGGTCTTTGAGTCCTCTAACCAATGCCTTTGGTCCCATGTCATTTTGATTTTCCAATCTCAAGTTATGGCCTTTGACTTAAAGTCCCTTTTTGTTGACTTTTGAAAATGACCTATAATGTTGAAATTGATAACTTTTTGTGAGAGCATTTCTTGGACTTGAAGTATGAAGATGAGTTGTAGGAAATGTCTTTCTCTTCAAAATGAGCTTTGGATGGAATTTTTCTGATAATCCATGTGAAAGTTATGCCCTGGTCAATTTCAGTTGACTTTTTCAACTGTCCAAATAAGGAAACTTTTGCATCTTGATGATTTCTGAGCCAAATTTTGAGAATCATGATCAAGAATTGATCAAATGATGTTTGTGGCTTCAAAATGATATGTTGACCAAAAATTTGAACTTTTGACTGCCAAATGACCATTTTGCCCCTACAGTTGACTGTAGTGCAATTAGGGTTTTTGACTGTGCAATTTTGAGCTGAATGCCTTGAAACTTGATATGAGGATGCTTGACCATATTTGTAGGCATGTGAGACTTGATTGGGCCTTTGGAAACTTCATTTTCTTGATCAGAACACAAACCCTAATTTGACTGTATAGGAGGCCTTTGCACTGTGCAACCCTTGGGGGAGATTTGAAGCTTGACTTGACAAATCTTTGAAGAATATGGGAGGGCAAATTTTGGGGTACAACACCCCTCCACTTGCAACAGTTTCTTTTCAAACAACTTACCCACTTCTCCCAACACGCACGCGATGCCCTTTTGCTTTGGGAACAACTGCTTCAGATCCCCCGTCCAGTCCCACGTACCCCACTTTCCTAGACGTCCATTTATCTCCTTTACAACTTGCATCAACTCCCAATACCACAACTCTCAAGACCAACGAATATTTCTCATCTCCTCACACATTAAAGCCCAATTCGCCTATAGGATCAGGCCCACTCCAACACTTCAGTCTAGAATTTTTTCACCTATAAACCTTGAAGACAAGGTTCTTTATAGGACAGAGAGTATTATTATGCAGAATGCAAGGTCCATTAGAGAGAAAAGACAATCTATTTTACTAAAAAATTATATTACAAACTAGGGGTGTGTTTAGCATCAGTTTTTAATATTATATCCTTTTAATTAAGAGACCCATGGCCCATTTAGTCTTTCAAAATCCTAGATATATAAATTAT